TCTTTCCGTGAAGGGCGGGGCTGAAACGTAAGCCGCGCTGCAGAGTGTGACGTCGCAACCGCCGCTTCGCGTGATTATCACGTAATAGTTAAAGAAAAACTAACAGCACGTTAGTGAACTTTGCATTTTTAGGTGTGTGAAGAAGTGAAACAAGGATCTTTCAGAGCAGTGGGTCAGCCCGAATTAGGTAAAAGCTTTATGCTTGCGTAATGTGTTAAGGTGCATATGTTTATAAATTTGTGTTACAGGTGTGGAGAAGTGAGATTATTTTTTTTTCTGATGCACATGTTAATTCTAAATTACAATTATGTTGTGTTTAATTCTATGTTGCAGTGTCTGCCTTCAGTATTAACATCTGCATGATGCTTGAACAGGTGTGCAGTTAAATGCCTCCTTAAGTCGAAGAGTGTCCCCATCCCTCAAGCTCTTCTCTTTGGGGTGCAAACTAGGTTTTTGGGTTAAGACATGCCTACAGATTGGGAACCCCCGCCTCTATGCTGTGTCAAGAGCTGGATCGCTGTGGTGTGGTGGGGAGAGACTATGAGCCCAGATCAGATGATCTGGCATGATCAGATGACCTGGAGTGAGTTTTAGAAGAGTCATCCAGATCCATCTGGGCATTTTGGCAGCTAGTAGTTTATTTAATAATCCAGGGGTCATGTCCAGCCATTTCTCGAAACACCCCGATCAAAGGTCATCTTTGCTTCTTTCTCCTTCCTTTTTCTCCTCTTTTTTTAATGTTTGAACACAAATCCCAAGCAGGAAAAGAGTAGAGAGTAGTAGAGTCGTTTTTTGCCATATGTACAGTACACATACATTGGAATTCTGAATCGCGCAGATCTCTCGGAACATTCACAGGACAACAGGCAACACCACACGATGTAGACAGTACATCACAAACATAATAACAACAACAGGTACAAAAAATATGTCATAACGAGACAAATAAAACCACAAAAAAACATGGAGTGCACAAAATAAAACCCAAACCCATCAAGCCTTTCCTGGCCCTCTGTTGTTTTGTGCTAGATGGACACAGAACCCGGGCGGCCGAAACCCTTGAAAGGGATTCTGAAGAAGGGCCTCTGGGATGCCGACGCCCACCGAGACCCCGAGCGCCTGGTGCACAGCGCCGAGTGCCCACTGAGAAGCCAGTCGTCCCCGATGCCACTCACAGGCCTGGTGAAGCACAGCCTGGGCACCAGCTGCAGCCTGCCACTCAGGGGCATCCTGAAGAACAGCAGCTCCAGCGAGGAGGCGGGGAACGGCACTCCAAACCACAGGTGGCGCCAGCCCGCCCTCTGTGCCACACCAGGGGGGCCCGGGTTCGAATCCGCACACAGGACACATTTACTTCTTCACACTCCCCGGCTAGACCACCAGGTCTCAATGGCACCGTGAGACGCTGGGAGCATCCGGAAATGGGCATGCATTCCGCAGGGATCACCCCAATCCAGTCTCTTTTTCTCCAGCAGTATCACCTTCAGCTGAGGTTGCTATGAGGACACTGGAGTGTGAAACCTGCCATTCAGTTCCACTTGTCTCCAACAGAATTGAGATCTGGGGTATAGTCCTAGCCAGGGAACCTGATTTCATAGGATCCTCTGCTTCCTGCTCCTGATGTACAAAACCAGTGTTGTCGT